CGTGGAGCGGCTGGGCCCGTGAGCCATGGTCGCTGAGCCTGTGCGTCCGGAGCCTGTGCTCCGCAACGGGAGAGGCCACAACAGTGAGAGGCCCGCGTACCCAAAAAACAAAACAAAACAAACAAACTGAAAAAGGGGCCCTGGACCCCAAGGCAAGGGTCCCGAGCCCCCCAGGCACCCCTACACTTGCCAGGGGCGTCACCTACCTGTGCCGACAGCCCGCTTTGTGTCCCAGGTGCACCCGGGCATCGAAGAGACTTCTTACAGAAAACAATTCTTTGACATTGAAGAAGTCTAAGTGCTTGAGGGGCTCGCTCAGGATCCTCTCGTTCAGATCTGCGGCGGGGAGGGGAGAGGATGCAGGGTCTGGATCCCGGCTCCCAAGCCTGGGGTCTGCGGGAGGGCAAATGCTGAGGGTCCCCAGGGGCCTTTTCTGGAGGCTCCGGGCGGAGGCCGAGATCTGACCCCAGCTTCGCTCCTGGGTAAACGCGGCCGAGTCTTCACTCGGAGAGGAGGGGAGCCGTGTGGTGTCTGAGGTCCCTGTGGTCCCGCCAACCGCCCGCGGGAGCTCCCCGGCCGCGGTTCGTGGAGGTGGGGGGGGGCGAGCCTCGGCCCTACTCGGCGGTGGGGCTGCTCGGAGGGCTGCAAGCTCGTGCGGCCCAGCACGTGAGCTGCCAAGGGCGGAAGGCCGCCCTTCGCCCTCCCCAGTCCCGCATCCTCCAGGGGCCCCATGGAGACCCAGAGCGCCCGGGACTCCTAGCAGCGGGACAATTTCAAACCCCCAGGACCGCAGAGCCGGCGTTACCGCTGCTGCGCTCGGGCTCCCGCGTCACGGCGCTCCCCAGCGTCCTGCCGCTCGGCCCCACCGGGCCCGGGGTCGCCGTCTGGACGAGGTGCAGCTGGAGCGGCCAGCGCCGGACACCTGCAGCGACAGCAAACTCGTGGCGCGCGCCCCCCGCCCGCCTCCCTCCTTCCCTCTCTCCCGCCGCCCGGCCCGCAAGAGAGTCCCTGCCGCGCCCCCCACCCCCGGGTCCCGAGCGCCTTACCTGCGCCGAGCAGCCGGGGTAAGACCGAGCCGGCTACCATGGCGTGGACTCCGGTAGGCGGACGGACGGACAGACGCGGAAGACGGGCAGGCGCGGCCCCACGAGCGGCTCCTCCTTCCGGCTGCGGCCCGCGCCTTCGCCGCAGCGCCACCTGCAGGCCCGGGGGTGCCACTGAGCGTCCGCCGCCTCTCTCGGGCATCCCAGCTCTGGACGCGTCCCCGCCCTTTGGCCCCCGCCTGCCCCCCGCGTCGGAGCACGCAGTCCTTGGGGAAGGCTGGGCCTTGCGCCCCAGGTCTGCCCGGGCACCGTGGACCCGCAAGGAGCGTGGGGCGGGCCGGAGCCGGGGTCCTGTCGAGCGCGGGGTCTGGATACTCCTCCCCTCGCCCCCTCCCTGCACAGTGCCCGGCGGCCGAGGAGGTTCCCAGCCGTCCCGCGGGAACTCGCCGGGAGATGGGGACCGTCTTCACCTGCGGCCAGTCCAGCACAACCTCCCGCTGTCCAAAAGTGTTTTAATTTTTAAACATTTGGCTTAGAAAGATTCCATAAAGTTAGGCAAATCTGGAGTCTTAATTTTAGATGCAGCGTACTGGGGGGCCTGAAGTCGGGGGTGGGGGTCAAGGAGCAGCCCTGGCCCACGCGGTGAGCGTCGGAGCGTTGCAGCGAAGCGGCCTTAGAGAACCTGAACTCCGCAATTTGCCGATGAAGCCCCAGGACCGGGGTTTCATCTGCCTGGAAATCTGCCCCCCACCGTATTTGGGAAAATGTTGGCGCCGAAGGCTACTGATCATAGGGTACCCGGCACTGCGGCCCCAGGAAGTAATGCCTTATTATCCCGGCCAGCCTAGGGCCTCGTGGCTCGCCATGGAAGGTTCTAGAACCTCGGACTTCTGCCCCACAAGCCGGCGGTGGGCGGCCTCCGGCCCAGGAGGCGCGGCGCCTTTAAGGGCCCCGCCCACCCAGTCAGGTGACCGGGCCGTCGCTTAGCAACAAGACGCCGCGCGGCCCCTCACGGCCCCAGGGCTGAGAAGCTGTTTCCTGCCCGCTCGTTCTTTCCCCCGAAGCTCGGGTGGACCGAGGCGAGATGTCCGAGGAGGACCCCCAGGGATGCGCGGAGCAAGAGGTGCCCAAGGCCAAGGCCCCGCCGGAGAAAACCAGCGACTACTACCGCGTGAGCGAGGACCTGCCGGCCAGGTTCAACAACCCGGCTTGGTTTCGGGGCTACAGGTGAGGACCAGGGAGTCCGGTCAGGGTCCACCTGGCATACGAAGAGGAAAGAAAGGGCTCCTGGTCCAGCCGCCAGCCAGGTGCCCAAATGGTCCTGCGCTCTGCGCAGATGGCCCGTTGTGCAAGAACCCCCAGGCCCCCTCCCGGCCCGCAAGTCAAAAGCGGGGTCAGTTGTTAACCACCAAATGAGCGCGGAGGTGCTGCCTGCGGCTTGCGACTCGCGGGTGGAGTGAGTGGGCCTCCCGCCAGCGAGGTGGGGCGGGGTTTGCCCAGGGGAAATCACACAACTCGGGCTGATCCCAGCAGCACCCTCTAGCGCGGGTCAGTCTCCTCTCCTTTCTAGGCGGAGAGGACCCGTCCGCCTGAGGTGCATGGCAACACCTCCATCACCAGGCTGCCGAGGGGCGTGGCCTGCCAGCTGTTCCAGTGCGCTGCAGCCTCTTAAGACACAGCTGGGCAGGCTGTGCGTGCCTTCCCTGCTCCCCCCTCTCCCCCTTAGTCCCTCCACGATCCCACAGAGTTGGCTCTGTTAGCATCTTCATTTCCCAGGAGGGACATCTGGGTTGTAGAAAGACAGATCCCAGAGTTAGTATGAGGCAGAGCTGGGGTGTCTGAGCCCACAGCCACTAGTTAAACTGCTGTACCAATAGCATCAGGACTAGAGACTACAGCAACATTTTCTCCTGGAGGCTCGGAAGTGGAGGGACCTCCCCCCTGCCATGGGAGGGCATCCCCTCCCATCCCAAAGGGCTGGCCCCCGCGAGTGGCAGGCCTGGAGGCTGAGTCACAGCTCCCAGCCTACCCACCCACCCAGGAAATGACAGCATGGGTCCAGGTCCCGCTGGGGCTGAGGGCCAGCACTTGCCACCTGGGAGTTCTTTAGGGCTTTGGCAGAGGTCAGCAGAGGGAGTCAGGGAGGCTGAGCCTGCCAGGGAGGCCAACCCTGCACTCCACAGGAGCCCAGGTTCACGGCTGCATCGCCCATCTGGAGCATTTCCAACAAAGTTCCATCAACCAAATATGTTAAAGCTGTGGCTTGGGCAGAATTAAAACAAATGAGTGGAAAATAAAGTATTTTTCTCCTGCTAGGACCAAGGAGCCCCCCTCAGTGTACAGGACCAGTAACCAAGCTTATGGGAGCAGAGCACCCACCGTGCACGAGATGCCGGTAAGGAGGAAGCAAAGAAAGGTGTGCAGGTGGGGCATCTCTAGGAGGAGGCTGAGACTCCGGATTTCTCAAAAGAGCAACACATCAGGAGGGGGAGGTGCAGAGAGGCCCGCAGTTCCAACAGCACGAAGGGGGAGGGCGCACCTCAATTTCTTTTGGGACAGGGCAGGGTAGAAATAAATGAACGAATGAGTTTAGCAATGAAATGATTTAAAGGATGAAAAAAGGGCATGTAGTCTTCCTTACAACATCCCAAAGGGCTGGCCCCATTCACTCGTACAACCAGCCAACTCTTGTAACCTAATGCAGTAGGTTTTGAGGCAGATAAATGAAGAACTGCCTTCTTTTTGGAGTAATACCGTATTTTATGAAATATTTAACTTGTGATCTTAAGAGACAGCGCTGGCTGATGAAAGCACAGGTTACAAAAGGGCCCTGGGATCTATGCACTTTTGGGGAACCTGACCCCTCTTTGAGATCAACCTCACATGGCAGGGAGCCTCCTAGAACCCCCTGATGCCCCTGCTGGGTCCAGGTGAAGGGCAGATGGACCAGTGTAAGCATCCCTTGGGTACCCAAGACAGGAGGGCGTCCCATTTTGGGGCTGGCAGTGTTGTTGTTTTTCTTCCAAATTATTCATGTTAAAAGATCATGATAATTGCTTATTTACCTGTTTTTCATGGGGGGTAGAGCTTTTGTGAGAAGATTATTTCTCTAGAAAGTTCCTAGAGCATTTAAAGGTCATTCTCCCAGGATCAAGGGATCAGGTGTTTCCATGAAAAAGACCGACACACTTACAAACATAGGTCCAGATGTTTTGCTTTTATAAAAAAGGCCATTTGCTGGTCTTATGAGGCAGTGGGACGTGAAGCACCGAGGTTCTCCGGAGGCAAGTTTAGAAGTTTTTCCTGCTGCTTATCGACCTGTTTTATCTGGAACCTGCTTTCCAGCTTCCTGACCTGAGTGTGGCCGCGGGACTCAACCAGCAGCATGCAGTGTTTCCTTCCCACATGGGAACAGAAAATAAAAATGCATTCTTTGGGTTTTAGAAAATATACTGAAGGAAACTATTCTTAATGACACTGTAGTGGTGGATACATGTCATTCATTATTCATTTGTCAAAACCCAGAATGTACAATGCAAAAAGTGGACCCTACGTACACTGTGGACTTTAGTTAATGACGACCCGTCGCCATTGTCTCAGTTGTTCTAAATGCACCACACTGATGGGAGATGTGAACAGCAGGTCAGCTGTGTGTGCTGCTGGGGAGGCGATGTGGGAACTCTTCACTCTGCACAGCTTCTCTGTAGACCCCAAGCTGCTCTAAAAAATAAAGTCTATTTAAAAATGCACTGGGAATCCCCTGGCAGCCCAGTGGTTAGGACTCTGCACTTCCACTTCAGGGGGCACGGGTTTGATCCCTGGTCGGGGAACGAAGATCCCACACGCTGCAGGGTGCAGCCAAAAACGAAACAAAGCAAAACAAAACACAAAACAACCACCACAAAAAACAAACAAAAGAATGCACTGAAGGCCATTTCTCTTGGTACTTGCTTCCTGCCAAGGAGACAAAACATCAAGTGATCTACTTGACACGAGGGGAGCCTAGAACAGGCCACCTGTCCCAAGTGTACTATCTGATAGTGGTCCAGAAACCTCAAGGTCACCCGGGGATGCTGTATCGCTGAAATGACTCCTACCCCTGGGTGCCCGCACACACCAGCGGCCTCATCTGTGTTCCCACTGCACCTCCACCTCGCTAGGGCATCCCTCCCCAGACCCCTCGGCTGGGGGGGCACGGCCATCAGAATTGTTTTAAAGCTCTACAAGGGATTCTAATACCCCATCAAGGTGGAAACCTACTGATGTTATCTCTTTTCCAGCGAAGAGAAAACTCAAGTTCAGAGAGGTCCAGTAACTTGCCCTAGTTGTACAGTTGGCAAAAGCTGAACTGGCAACAGCTTTGGGCCTGACCCATTGTAACCATATTCAGGTGTGGCAATGCCTTGCCCAGGCGGCCCCATAATTGATTCTTCTGTCCATGTAGTAGTGAAAGGAGGCATCATTAATCACCATGCCCTGACATTAGGCAGAAATCGGGATGGTTGGGGCCAGCTAGGCCAGCCACCCTGCCCACCCTGGCTTCTCTGCTTCCTAGGATTGGAGACGACATTTTCTTACAAAATAGGAATTCAAAAACATTTTCTTACAAATTTTTATTTTTCTTCCCAAAATACCTAATGACTGATTGCTCAAGAGTGTTATCGTGTATCACTAACCCTAGTGTCCCCTTTTCACTTCCAGAAGGTATTTTATCCAAATTCGTATAAATTTTCTAGACAAGTTGCAGCTGGTGGAATGTTCCAGAACAATGCTTTCAACGTCTCCATGGAGAAGAGCATTGTGACGGGTCCGGACAACTACATCACCTTCTACGATCGGCTCAACTTCCACCCCAGCTACAGGGTCAGCAAGCCGTCCATCTGTGATTGAGGGGCCTCCCGGCTCTGGCAGAGATAGTCTGGACAGTTGGCAGCCCTAATCTTTGATAAGTTGCCCAATTGTAAAGGAACACACTTCACTGCTTTCCCTGAAAATATTTTCCCCCTCTAGGTTAGAAAAATTTGCAAACGGGGCTATGATGCCCTACTTTCTCTGTTTTACATCTAGATGAAAAAGAGCTAATAGCTTGACTTTCCATTAAAAACCTTGCCATGTCCCCAGTCCCTGACTCAGGTATAATCAATGAGTAGGGCGGTGGGCATCCTGGGACCCCGATCTCAGTCTGAATCCTGGGAACGCCCGAGAGCCCCACCTGCATCTTTGTTTGGGAGCCATTTTTATACTCATGACAAACTACGCGTGGTTTCTGTTCTCAAGCATCCTGCCGAGCCACGGAGGGAGGGTAGGATGCTCTGCCTGGGTGTGGACGAGGGCTGGGCGAGGAGGCAGAGGGGACCTCAGGAGGAAAGCTCCAGGCGGGACCAGGCAGGAGGGCCCTTACTGGCCCTGACCCGGGCCAAGCTTGGAGTGATATTGAGCACCCCCTGGCCACGAATGGGGCGGGGGCAGAGGCGGAATCAACAAGGTTGGTGACTGCTGCTTGTTGCTGAGGGGTGAGGTGTACGTCGGGCTTCTCCACTTGCTGTTCATTGTACCTCTTCAATAAAAAGTTTAAAAAAAATCAGGCGGGGAAGACCATGTTTTTCTCAGGTGGGGGTAATAACTACATAAAGTGGATTTCTCTTTCCATGTAGTTAGTTCTCAATCAATGTTTACTATGATGTAGAGGGTCCTCAATAAGAAAACATTTTCTATGACAATATATATCTTCCAGTCATAGATTCCTCCCACCTTCCTTTATGACAGCTCATCACAGGAAATCCGGAAGGTGTTGGAACCAGACAGAAGAAATCATTGTTACAGACCACTGTCGCTACCTTCCTTACAAAGGTTTTTACCCAAAGAGATTTTACTCACATATGAATTTGGGAGGAAATGAAATACCATGACCGGTTATTTCTTCATTAAAGACTTATTATTACACAAAAGTAAACATTTCAGCAACATTCTTAACGTCCGGTTTGGGGTGGAAATGGTTTCCAGAGAAAATCAATCTATTATTTGAATAGAAAAGGTACAAAGCTGCGTCTGGAGCCAGGGTCTATGTCATATCCTTCTCCTTAGCTGGAAAACTAGCACAGACTCCAGGCATCACACTGAAAATGCCTTTTTTTTTTTTAAAACAACCTTTCATTAAAAATACCAAAATCCTCAGAATGTTTCTGTTCTTCTCCTCTGTTGAAATAAAAAAAGAGAAAGAACATCTGATCAATCCAGTTTCTAAACTCACTGAAAAGGACAAATCCCTTCCTCTGAAGCTGGCTGGGAAGCGCAGGGGATCCAGGGGAGGATGCAGCCGTCAGGCAAAGTGATGGTTTCCCCTCCAAGCTAGACCCGGTGAGCACCTGCCCTCCCGGAACAGGACAGTGTGTGTAGGTCAGGGCCCAGGCTGGGATGGTCAGTCGACCAAACAAACATGACAAACAAAACATGCCAAGCACGCCAGTGAGCTTTACGAAGTTAATCCTGGCATCAAAATCAGGCATTGACGTGCTTTAATTGTCATAGCCGATAACCAATATTTCTGTATCAGTTGCTAATGAGTTAATGGAACGTTAGACTCTGTACGTAGAATAAATGTCTGGAAAGACGGACCACCGAAGTACCTCTGGTATAACGTACATGCCTGTCTTCCTGAAAACTCACCCACCATCTCCGGCTCAGGCTCCCAATTCCCACGTGCTCCTGGCGCCTGGGCCCCCGCGAGGTGCCGTGCTCCCCTCCACTTGTCTGTTTTCACGGTTTTCGAAGAGCTTTGACAGTGTCACCTCATCCGATGCTCACGCCTGGGGCAGGTCTTGCTGTACCTCCATCTATGGATGGGAAAATTAGGGTCCAGAGGGGGTGCCCTGCAGCAGGTCCTGGGCTTGAACCCGCCTTGGGGGGTCCTGGGAGGGGCCGGGTCATCAGCATCTGGCCCCAAAGACACACCCTAACTTCCTACATGTTTGCACGAGCCATGTACGAACTCCAGTGATTATCATGAAATTTATCTTTTTAACCTATTTTCAAACTGGAATCTTTACGTGTGAGGGAAAAATAAAAGAGTTTAGATTGACAGGCCTGATCCTAAGTTACAAGAACATGCCTTCTGTTCGGCATTATAGCATAAAGAACGGGAAGAAAATGACACCCATCATTCTTCTGACCTTTGTACTGAGTTCTTTTGAAATCTTAAATCCAATCAGAACAATTACGGGAAAGGCGATCCAAAGAGGTTAACAAAAACCAGTTTCCACAGGTTATTAAATAAACTGCACGGCAATTCCAGAGAAACTCTTTCCCCATCCACGAGTAGGTCTTTTCTTTATCTGGCCTCTATTCCACTCTGAAATGAAACATTGACGAAGTTTCACAGCACTTTACTAATCGCTTAATTTAGCTGCTGAGTTGGCTTAAAACCAGTAACTTCTTACCCTAAAAGTATATTTTCATTTGTCTATTTTTCTTCAGTGATATTTAATCTTTTATTTACAGTCAATTAGAATAAATGGTTTCAAATACATAGTAAAATGTGTTGACACTGGGAAAAAAAAATCCCTCTGTTCAGCACACAAAACACCAGAAATCTCAAAGCTTCTGCAAATAATATAATATTTCCCCCTCCCCGTCCCCTCTACACAGGCCCTTAAATTAATTTCAAGGAGAGAGGAGGATCAAGGTGGTAACACTTTTTATATGAGCAGATAAAGTGCTAGTATTTCAGTTGAGGGCCTGGTTTCCCACTGCGAGTGTGTCTCAGCTTGGGAAAACCTGTTGATAACTCGGATTCTGAGCAAAAGAGAAAGTTCAGAGCAACACTTCTCGATTTCTTAAAATTTTATTTATTTTTTGGCTGCATTGGATCTTCGTTGCTGCGCGCGGGCTTTCTCTAGTTGTGGCGAGCATGGGTTACTCTTCATTGCGGTGCGCAGGCTTCTCATTGCGGTGGCTTCTCTTGTCGAGGAGCACGGGCCCTAGAGCACGCAGGCTTCAGTAGTTGCAGCGCGTGGGCTCAGTAGTTGTGGCGCATGGGCCTAGCCGCTCCGCAGCATGTGGGATCTTCCAGGACCAGGGCTCGAACCCGTGTCCACTGCATTGGCAGACGGATTCTCAACCACTGCGCCACCAGGGAAGTCCATGACTCTTCTCTTTAGGAAGACACTCTCCTTGATGCGGAGACGCGGGTGGTGAACATCGAACACTGACCTCCAGGACTTCCCCCTCTTCCCACTCCCATCCTATTCTGCTGGGACTTCTGAAACGGGCCCATTCTTTCCGGAAAAGGGGGCAGTTCCTGCAGCGACACCGTGACCCCAGGATGACCTAACCCAGAGCATTAGACACCTCAAAAACCGGGTCTCTTGGGGCTCCCCTGGTGGCGCAGTGGTTGAGAGTCCGCCTGCCGATGCAGGGGACACGGGTGCGTGCCCCGGTCCGGGAAGATCCCACATGCCGCGGAGCGGCTGGGCCCGTGAGCCATGGCCGCTGAGCCTGCGCGTCCGGAGTCTGTGCTCCACAACGGGAGAGGCCAAAACAGTGAGAGGCCCACATACTGCAAAAAGAACCCCTCAAAAAACAAACAAAAAAAAACGGGTCTCTCCCCCTTCTTTGCATTAGGTGAAATGAACCCGTGGCCCCAGGTACATAGACGCCCACCCCCTCCCCATTGGGAAGCAAGAGGGGCTCTTTGGTTCGGACTTATCTGTAGGTCTCAGTAATTACAGCCTGATTTGGTAACACATCCTTGCCGAGACTCTTCCTACGAGTGCGGGCACATGTGCCATCTCATGCAGCAGCTCCGGGGATGCTGTGATGCACGGATGCAGGGTCGGGCCCGGATCATCGGAGGAGCTGTACCAGGGCTGCAAACGTATAGACAGCCATCACTAAGGGACAGCGCTCCCGTCTGCCCCCCACTGCAGCCCCCTTTGCAGACAGGGTGCAGGGGGACCTCGGACCTTGGCCCCAGTGTGTGCCAGAGTTGACCTAGGATGTTGGGGAGAGGGAAAGCAAAATCTTTCACGCAGCATGGCTTGTTGGCAATCCAGGGATGGGCCCGCACGATCACGTCTACGTCCAGTTTGTGAAAACCAGGCATGGCCTGCACTGCCAAGTAAGCACACAGACTGGGGCTAGGGAGGCAGGGGGAGAGGAAGGTGCAAAGGGTCTGGGGGAGACTGAGATGGGCCGCAGGAGCAGAGAGGTGCTCAGGACTAAGTGCACGATGACACAGAAGAACACTGGCAGGTCCTAGACGTTGGGTTCTCACGTCACCATCCTGCAAAGGCCACTCTGCACAGGACAGACTACATCAACTGATTTGTGAGCAGTGCCTGATTTATTAGCATAAAAAAAAAACAAACAAAAAATCCAGTTCTTATATACAAAACAAGCTGATTTTTGTTTTCAAGTGTTAAAAGCAGTCCTTCAAAATTAAATGAAATTTAAAGCATGGATTGTTTTTCCAGGAAGCACTTAAGTGAATGAATATTCGACAACGGAAATATCGGATGCACAGCGCGTAGGCACCGGCCGGTCACGGAGTCCACAGGGCCTGCTCGTCACAGCATCTGACCCGGCGGACACTGACTGTGGGTGCTGGCACACGTCCCCATTTGGGTACAGAAGTGATCCTGCTAAGACCTAGGGGGGCACAACATGTAGAAAATTCACTTGCACATCAGAATAACAACTTCAGCTGCAAATTAAACCTTGCTCCAGGCCCACCGCAGCTACCGATGAGCTGTCACAATTGCGGCAGCCGATCAGTTTGCTGGACGATCGCGGGTAAACGTCAGCGCTCAGCCTCACGTGTGCAGGTTCCCGCCTGCCTCTTCTGTAGCTGTGGGCACCGCAGCAGCCTCAGAGCACAAAGTACAGGATGCCACGCTCTTCCCTGTGTGCGTGGCACCGCCGCTCAGACACACCGAGAGCACGGGCACACCCCTGCTGGTGGAGCACAGTCCCAGCGAGCCCAGTTCCCGGAGGGCGGTGGGCTTTGTCCTCGGTCCTCAGGACTCCGGGCACCAGAACCCATGAAGCAGCCGTTGCCTCTTTGCTTTGCCCAGATCAGGACAAGGGCACTGAGAACACACGGGCTGCCTGGTACCTTTTTAGAGCTGTGACTAAAAACGAAGGACGGCAGCTCCTGTATAAAGAGGTTTATTGAGCCGGTAGAATCATGTCATGTTTGAACAGGACTGGACATTAAACAACACAGGCCTCAGGTGTGAACTGGTGACCGGCCCTGAGATCTCACTCAGGACTCCTACTTGCAACTGGCATGGCCGGTTTGCTCGCTGGCCATTGTGCTTTGAAACGCTTTTCCAATTGAAGACATGCTCGGGCCTCTTTTACATAAGAAGTGCTGTCCAGGGGTGTCCCAACCAAGACCGCTGGGGCGCTCTGGCATGTCTCAGGCGGGGCAACAGCTGCTGCCTTCCTCGGGCCCGAACTGTGGCCACGACTGGCCATGGCCACCAGCGATCAACCCCAAGTGCAGGGACAGTCGGAACCAAGTGTTTGCTGATCTAAGACTAGTGTGGAGACCACGGAAAACTGCCCCGAGGAACGTCCTACAAAATCCAACAATGGTATTCACCAAAAATATCTTTTACAGCACTTTAAATAATTTACAAAAAGCCTACAAAAATTATATTTACCAGGACACATCTGTTAAATAAAAACATCCTTTCGCGTTAGTGTACATATATACAGGCTGTACAGGGGCCTCCAGGGCTCCGCCCTTTCATCAGGAGCGTGTGACATGTGGGGACGGGCACACACATGCTTCGCCCACACTTGCCGCGGCCAGGAGCGTGCTCACAGCTGGAGGACGGGGCCCTTGGCCAAGAGGCTGCCGCCCTCCTCCACAGACGCATCGCTGAACTCGCTGGCGTCGCTGCCCAGGGCCTCTTGGTCTTCATCGTCTCTGTCCGCCCCCCTCCGCCTGTACCGCAGGTCCAAGATGCTCTCCTCCGGCCCCGAGTTCCTCCTGTCGGGCAGACTGAGCCCTGCCTGGGACTTCCTGGGCGGCCAGCGGCCACCCTCCTGCTTCACCAGCAAGTGTGAGCTTCCGAACACTGGGCCGTGGCCAGCCTGGGTCTCTCGGAAGGCCGAGAAGGATGCGCCCTGTAGAGGCAGGCTCAGGGGGGGACTGAAGAGGCTGGCCTGCTTCCCGCCCCAGGAGACACTCTTCCCGAAGTGAAACAGCTGCGTGGAGAGCAGTGGTGAGAAGCCGGCAAAAGGCAGGCCTCTCTTGGGGTCCATGGCGAGGCTGGGCGAGCCCCGGGCCTGGCCCTCCAGCCGCTTCTCTCTCTGGCCCCTGAGGCCCCCTTTCCACGCCGCCGTGTCCCTGCCTTTCGTGTTCAGTGCCCAGGTGCTCTGCAACCGGCTCTGGGGGGAGAAGTCAGTCCAGGGCAGGGCGAGGCCGGCCCGGGGCCTCCCCTCTTGCTCGGCGCCTGGGGTCCGTGCCAGTGAGCTCCGGCTCTCTGCCCGAGCGCCAGCCTCCACGCAGCTCGGGAGCTGAGCCAATGCGCTTTCCCCCGCGGCAGCCTCGGCCCCCCTCGGGCTCTTATCTTTGGGCACATAGGCGGTTCTCCTACTGGCTGGTGACCCTTTGGCAGACGCGGTCCCGCTGGCGCTCCTGGGCGGCACCAGTTCGCATCTGGCCAGGGCTGCAGGGCTGCAGGCCTGCTCGGCGCGGGGGCTGCTCCTCCCGGCCGGAGCGAAGGCTCTGCCCGGGCCCCTCGGTCCCTCGGCCGGCTGCAAGGGCCCCCTGCACCTCTGGCTCCGGGTGCACATGCCAGGCTGAAGGGCCGGGCCGGGAGGTGGCACTTTCCGGCACGGCAGCTCTGGCTTGCCCCCATTCCCCGTCCCGAGAGCGGTGGGGCCCCCTCCTTGAATTTCTGATCCGCTCACGGACTCCTTGGCCTTTTCGGCCAAAAACTTCCTAATCTCCAGTTCAATGCTGTCATCGCTGTCTACAGAGCTGCTGTCATCAGACAGGGAACTGGGGCTTGGGGCCGGACCACGAAGTTCACGGGCTTCCGATTCACCAGAGAACAGGCTCCTTCCTGCAGCTTGGCCCCTGGACCGGGGAGCCGGGGGCGCGTCCTCGGCTGCCACGCCATCTGGCTTTGCTCTCACCGCTTCTTGGCAGAGGACGTGCGAGGGTCTCCCCGGGCTCTCTTTTCTGGACTTTGAGAGGCAGCTTTTCAGCAGATGTGGGCTTCGGTCTTTCCAGTCTTTCGGGAAGCCCCCTACTTTATCCAGGAACTGCGTCTCCGTGGTGCTGAACCTGACCCTCTTCTTGCAGCCGGCTCTGGGGTCTTTGCACCTCTTCCGGAGCCTCCGCTTGGACCGCAGCAGGTCCTTGATGGCCGTGTCCAGGTCCTCGTCACTGTCCAGCGAGCTGCTCTTGTCCTCGGAACTCTCCTTCTCATCCACGCGCCTCGCCTCGGCCGCCTTCCCGGGGCCTGGCAACACGGTACCCTGCGTGACCGGAGCCCCGTGCTCATCACCCAGCACGCCCGTCCTGCAGGGGAGAGGCTGGCCCCAGGTCTCACCCTCCCTTCCCGGGGCCTCGCTGGCTTTCCCCTGGCTGGGCTGCGCTCTCCCCTGGCTGCGGTCGGCGTCCCGGGCGCCCTCCTGCGCCTCGGCCGTGTCTCTGGTCCTCTTGGACGTGCACGGCCGCACGGCGGTGCTGCCTGCTCCGCGTTTCCTCTTGCAGCTCAGTGACAGGTCCGGCGATTTGGAGGCCGAGGCGCTGAGGCCGGACGGCAGCAGCGGGCTGTGTGCTGGTGGCGGGCACGTCTCCGTCCTGGGCAGCAGCCCCCCTGACTGCGCCTTCAGAGCCAAGAACGTCCGGATTTCCTGTTCGATGCTGTCGTCGCTGTCCACAGAGCTGCTGTCACCGTCGGAGCAGGAAGGCACGTCGTGGGGATACAGGAGTGGGCTGGTGGGCGGGGATCTGGTGCCGCCCTCCAGGGGACCCGGCAGGATCGTTTTGGAAATGTCCAGGATCGCTTCAGCGCACATCAGCTCCGCGGATGTGTCTGCGCGGCACGGGGACCCGTCCACAGACTTGCTTTCGGCAGCTGTACTTCCTGGAGGTGCAGGAGCCACGGTTTCCCTGGGAGGCCTGGAGGGGTGGTCGGGGTCCAGGCCACCCGGGCTGAAGTCCGCGGCCTTGGTGGCCACCGGCTTCTTCTTGCCCGGGGTCTTCCCGTGGCCTTCGAGCCAGGTGCTCTTGGTGCAGAGGCCCGTGCCGTGTGCAGGGGGCCCGGGGCCCTTCTCCTCCGCGGGCAGGGCCCTCTGCAGCGGCTCGCCACCTGCCTCCTTCCTCTTCTCCAGCTGGTACAGCTGGATGGCCTCCTCGATGCCATCATCGCTGCTTGAGTCGGCCGCCTCAGGCACCAGGGCCGCGCTCCTGGCTCGCCTTCCCCTCTTCCCTGAGCCGGTGCCCCTCCTGACCCCGACTTTACCAGGGGCTGCTTCTGCAGGGCGGCCCGCAGCCACGGCGGGCTCAACGGTGACCTTGCACCTGGGGCCTCTGGGCAGCACGCCAGCCTTTGTGGACCTGGGAGGCTTCCGGAAGGTAAATTCCTTACAGGCGCCCGCCAGCTCCTGCTGGTACGCCTTGCCCGTCGGCTCTCTGCTGGATCTAGACGCCGACTGGGCCAAGCCGTCACCGGGGTCTGGTTTTTTGTCTGCAGAAACGTCGCATTTTTGGGTTTCGTGCTGCCTCTTCTCACTTAGGAACTGTTCGATCTCTGCCCGGATGCTCTGTTCGAAGGAGTCCTCACTGCTCACGCTGAGTGGCGAGGCAGAGCCCTGGTCCTGGCCGACTCCCCTGTGGCTGCCGGGGACACCAGTGGGGCCAGCTGCAAGGTCTGGGGGGCACAGGGCGGTCGGGGTGCCGCTCGGAGGCGGCTCTGGTTTGCATCGACTGGCTGCAGGAGGCCGGGCGGCCCCGCTCTTGGCCTTCAGGTACTCCTGGATGGCTTCCTCAATGTCGCGGTCCACGGAATCATCACTGTCCGGATCCAGCACCAGGGGGCCAAGGTCCGCGGCCTCCTCCTCCCCCTTGGGGTCAAAACCAACAGCAAGACCACAGGCGGCAAAGGCGGGGCTGGTAGCCAGCCTGGTGCCACGGCCCCTCTCCGCTCTCTGGCTTCTCTGCCGGCCATGCTCGCCACTCATGCCCAGGGTGGCCCCGTCCCCCTGAAGCGTGCTGATGACCGCCTGCACCTTGGCGCTCACCGCCGCTCTCGGGACGCCCTCCTTCGGCTCCGAGAAGCATCCGGGAAACCTACAGCTCCCGGGTGGGCCAAAGGCCTCCCATTTGGACGGCAGGGCGAGCACAGGAGGCGCATTCATGAGATACATCCTAGCCGACGGGACGTGCAGAGAGGCGGCACTTTGCTTCTCTGCCTGCTTCACATCCTGGAGGAGAAGGCACGCCGGGATGGCGCCCCAGGTCAGGTCATGGAGAAGCGGTGGGCCTGGTGAGGGTCCAGCCGGCCGCGGGTCCCAGGGCAAGTCACTCACGCCTCCCGGGTCTCATCTCCCTTGGCTGTAGATGCAAGATGGCCACGAAGCTTCATGAGAAAACGCTTCCGAGCCACCCGCAGCGAGCTCGCGGAAGCTCACATGAGTGTCCTTTCCTCGTCCCTCTGTCCATCTTCTCCGATACAGGAACAGAGGTTTTATTTACCTCCAAAAGTTGTCAGGAGGTGCCAATGAGATAAAGACTCAGTGCTTCTCTGCAGGTGGAAAAGAACAACTAGTATGAATCCAGGTTCAGTGAGACGTCGTGGGTGGGTCCAACCTTGACGCGAATCAGCAGCTCCTGAAATGAGAAGTTACTTGATGGGAGCATTTAAACATTTATCTCCCTAAACAACTTTAAAGAGTCACTTATACCAAAGCCTCTTTATTTTATTTATTTATTTATTATTATTTTTTTTTTGCGGTACGCGGGCCTCTCACTGTTGTGGCCTCTCCCGTTGCAGAGCACAGGCTCTGGACGCGCAGGCTCAGCGGCCATGGCTCACGGGACCAGCCGCTCCGCGGCATGTGGGATCTTCCCAGACTGGGGCACGAACCCGTGTCCCCTGCATCGGCAGGCGGACTCTCAACCACTGCGTCACGTCGAACGTATATTTGCCAGATGGTCTCACGGGACCGTATGATTATTTTTAGGTAATTAATACAGAAGTTGCCCCAAACACAGTCAGGTGCCCCTTTTCACGCTGTGTGGTTTCTCCACAGCTTTTGTATCTCAGACCAAATGTGGCTGGGTCGGCAGAACCACTGGGATAGTCTTGGGGACACTTTGAAGACCTGCTCCCAACAGCCTTTACACTACAGGTCTGGGACCACCGCCGGGGAGGGGAACATAACGCAGGCTGTACACAGCCGATTAGAAAGACGCAGAATACATATGACTGTCAGCTCTTAACATGTTTCTCTGACCTCTCCCGATCCCCTGCAAACTGGAATGCAAAGTAGCCGAGATGCAAGAGGAGAGCTTGGCAGTGCTTGTGGAAACAGGGAAATCGAGTTCCAACTCCAAACAGTGCCGGGCAAGGCGGTCACCACCCTGGGGCCTTGGGGGGTGGCCGGAAGTGGCCTGTGTGTTTGCTTTGCTTCCCATGCAGATCCTTCTCCCCCAGGAGCTTCCTGCCTGACGAGCACAGAATCCTGTGTTTACACACCACAGTCCTTTCCAGGAAAGCCTAGCCCAGCCACCTAGGCACAGACGTGCCCAAACAGGTGGGACCAGCAATTAACCAGAGGGCATGACCAATTCAGAAGGAAGTCCTCTGCTATTACTCCTTATGCTCAGAAAGTGAGACTCTATAATGTAAAAGAATTTGCTGCATTTACCTGCGATTCTCTTCGAGTCCAGGTTCAGCGTGACGTTTGCAGAACGGTTCAGGGATTGGGTCTTCGTCCCCCCACCTCTACGCTGTAGCATCTGGTGCCCACTTTTTAAACGGACTTTTGACTGCCAAGATTAAAGAGAATCAGAGACCTAATTCAGAGGCTGAAACTACAGCTGGTAAGTATTTGGGGGGAAAGAAATCACATTAAGGGCTCAAAATTCAATTTTGGAAGAACTTACCCTGAGGCCAAATACAGTTAACCACAACTAATTCCCAACTCTCCTGGGCCATCGGGCTGATCCTGTAGGATGGTGACGGCAGGGAACATGTGAGGTTATTTATCAGTCCTCAGATGTGAGCACCCATAACAGTCCACGATCCCTCCCACAGCACCACCCTCCAGGGAGATTCCCTCCCAAGGGCAGTGGGGAGCAACAGTGGGGAGGGGGAGGGCTCTTTCCCTGGGCTGTGCCCACCTTGCTGTGGTCATCATTCAAGCTGCCTTGGCAAAATGACAGAGATTACAAGACATCTGCATAGGCCTTGAACTGTGAAGAGTCTACATAAAGAATATTAACTTCTTAAACAGCACTGCTATCTGAAAAAGTGGGCCCAAGGATGAACCCAAGCTGCAGTGGTTTCCACTCCAGGTAGCAGAGTGGGCGGAAGGAAAAGCGCTGCTCTCTACTCATCACCTTGACCATGTTCACAGCTCTTAAATGACCATCGAGAGCTCGGACTCCTAGTGGGCAGTTTTCTGAACTGTCAAATTACCTAGCGCAAGAATGAGGTTAAAAATTCAGAGAGCGTCTCCAGCGACAGCTTGTGGCTTTAAAACAATCACCCACAATGAGATGAATCATTCTGGAAAACTCCCCGAAACTGTACTTGGAGAGACTGTGGGCTGAAGCCTGGGGGCTTTCGCTTTGCCAAACTGCCACCCTGCTCCTCGAGAACCCGGGGACCAGGTCTGGAGGGCGGCTGTGAGGACACCCAGCCCTGCGCCCCAAAGCCATGTGGTGCCAGAATTTGAACAGTGGAGGAGGGCACCTGGGTCTCTTCTCAGTCGACACCAACCTCCAGGAGGACAGAACCTCGCTAACGCTCATCCCCTGGCCAAGTCTGGCTCCCCGCACGCGATGTGGCTTCGCCATTAATGCTGTGCAGCTCCTGCCCTTCCCTCCCAGGCTGGACTTTCCCCAGGTAATAGGGAGGTGAGGGTCGGGATACAAGGCCCAGAAGGAGGGCCCTCTCTGGAGGGCCAGCCTGAAGTGGGCGTGCGCTGGAATTCCGGCCCTGGCCTGCGGAAGATGAGACTTTACAATACGGCAAGGACGGCTCCCCAGCAAAGCTGCAGGGCCACTGCCAGTGCCTAGGGGGCCGGAGGCCAGGCGAGACCCTCCCGGCTGACCCTGCCCTGCCCTCTGCTCCAGGCCTGGGGGCGCTCACTCCCAGCGCAGCCTCTGCCAGGAGGGATCCCGGCGCCCGGAGAGGCGACCCGGTTCTCTGGCAGGAAGGGGTCGGGCCTCCACGCAGGGCTGCGCCCGGGTTATATTCTGGGCTCGGGGGGCTTGGGGGCGAGAGGCCCGGTGACCCTCCGGGAAGCTGCACGGGGCGGGGCGCAGGGCACGATCTCAGCGGGGAGGGGGCCGGGCCCCGGGCCGTCGGCCGCGCCGGAAGCCGTCCCGCCGCGGACCCTCACCTGCGCCTCACCTGGGCCCCGCGCCCGGCCGGCTTCGAGGAACGCGGGCGCGCGCAGGCGGGGGTCCCGGCCAGGAGCCGCCTCTGAGGCCGCGACCCCCGCCCTCCGCGCCAGCTAACTACCCGGCGCCGGGCCGAGCCCGCCCCGCCCGCCGCGGCCCCTACCCCGGCGGCCCGGCGCCGCGGTGCGGCCTGCATGCCCGCCCTCCGGCCAGGCCCCCTCCTCCCACTCGGCCCCGCACC